GCCTAGCTTATAGATAAATCTTATCTAACAACCTCAATTCTGCAGAACATAGCCAGGATTCAGGAAGTAAACAAAAATGTCTGAGCAACCAACATAAATGCCAGAGAGTACTTGCATTGGAAGCTCTCCCAAACTCTTTCTGAAAGCCTGGTTTACTTACTCTTTCTGCAGAACCAAGCTTGATTGTCTTTTCTGAGCCAACAGAAGATTAGAAACATAAGATTAGAGAGTAGTGCTGCTGCTAGAAGCAACAAGTTGAGTAAGAATCTTCCTCCTTCAAGAAACATTGATGAATGTGAGAATTTAAGAATAAGTGAGACCAGCGCTGGGGCTTGGGCTCAGTGGTACCACACTTGCCTGGCATGTGTGAGGCACTGGGTTCGATTCTCAGAACCACATCTAAATAAATAAATAAAATAAAAGCTCTATCGATGACTGAAAAAAAAAATATATATATATATATATTTAAAAAAAAGAATAAGTGAGACTGGCACATGCTTGTAACCCCAGTGGCTTGGGAGACTGAGGTAGGAGGATCAGCAGTTCAAAGCCAGCCTCAGCAACAGTGAGGTACTGAGCAACTCAGTGAGACCCTGTCTCCAAATAAAATACAAAATAGGGCTGGGGATGCGGTTCAGTGGTCGAGTGCCCATGAGTTCAATACCCAGTACTCACCCCCTCCAAAAAAAAGAATAAGTGAGACTGGGTGAACTCCAAGGTCCATTCGTGCTCCAAAAATGTATGAATTGGGTAAAAAACATAATAGTTTGGGAAAAAATAATACTACATTAAATAATGGCTCACAAACATGATCCAGTGTCAATAATAAAATGGGACCATATCAGATTACTTTTTAAGACATCTGTTCAAGAACTGGGGCTGGGGCTCTGTGGTAGGGCACTTGCCTGGCATCTGTGAGGCAGTGGGTTTGATCCTCAGCACCACATAAAAATAAATAAGTAAATAAATGTATTATGTCCACCTGTAACTAAAAAGAATTTAAAAAAAGATGTCTGTTCAAAATGGTTAATTATAGAATGTCATAGAATAAAAAACTAATCTATTACAAATGAAGATGAAATATTTCTGGGTACCATAGATGTACTAAACATTAATTTGTTTATCTATATATTTCATAGCAGTCCATTGGAGCTAGTATTCTATGCATTAGATGGATACAAAGGCACAGACCATAATCCCAATGATTTGGGAGGCTGAGGCAAGAAAACTGCAACTTGAGGCCAGTCTCAGCAATTTTTCATAGCCCTCAGCAACTTAGCAAGGTTCTGTTTCAAAATAAGTAAGTAAATAAATAAATAATTAAATAGGGCTGAGACTGTAGCTTAGTAGTATAGTGCCCTTGGATTCAATCCCCAGTACAAAAAAAAAAAAATACACATTGAAAATCTAATGGATAACAAATTCCACCATTATGTAAAACTATACTATACCAATAAAAACATGGAAAGAAAATAAATAATGTGTCCTTTTGAGGTTGTGGAGCCTGAGGCAGGAGGAACAAGAGTTCAAAGCCAGCCTCAGCAACTTACTGAGGCCCCGAGCAACTCAGTGAGAACCTGTCTCTAAATAAAATATAAAAAATATCTGGGGATGTAGCTCAGTGGTTAAACACCTCTGGGTTCAATACCTGGTACCAAAAACAAAAATACAAAACAAAACAAAAAACAAATGATGGGAACAACAAGGAAACATTACTTTCTCAGTCAGAACTTGGAAAGACTATTTAGGGCAACATTTAAACTGGGATTTGGGTAATACATAGACAAGCAGAAAAGGAGAGAATGTCAGAACAGTCATAGGGCATTTTAGGCTGAGGGAGCAGAAAGAAGAGTTATAAAAATTGAATGAAAATATACACTCCCATGAAGCTGAAGCTGAATATTCATGAGGTGGGGATGTAATAAAAATATATCAAACTGGGGCACAGTGGTGCACACCTGTAATCCCAGTAGCTCTGGAGGCTGAGGCAGGAGGATCTCGAGTTCAAAGCCATACTCAGCAAAAGCAAGACACTAAGCAACTTAGTGAGACCCTGTCTCTAAATAAAATACAAACTAGGGCTGGGGATGGGGCTCAATGGTTGAGTGCCCCTGACTTCAATCCCTGGAACCCTCCTCCTAAAAATATCAAACTGGAAAAGTCAGTTGAGACCAGATCACATAAGGTTTTACATACTATGCCAAGGAGTCAGACTTTAGCCAGTAACAAATAATCACTGAAAACTTCTGAGCAGGAAGGGAAGAGACATAATCCAAACTAACAATGGCAAAAAAAAAGGAAGGTAAACTCTGATAAAACTTTAAGAGCAGAGGGATGCTGAATATAGCACAACCAGTTAGGAGGTTACTGAAATAGTTTAGGCAAGGAAATTATGAAGACCTACATAAAGGCAGCAGAAATGAAAAGAAGGATCTGATCATGGGAGACAAAAAGGAAGTTAGTAGGATGTACAGGACTAACTAGGTGAGCAGTACACATTCAAACATGATTCTATGGTTTAAACTAGGTTGCCAGAAAGGTTGAGATGCCATTAGTTATGATTGGAACACTGGAGGGGGAGACATTTTCAGATAACTGTAAGAGTATGGAAAAGAGAAGGTATATCCTAATGCTTAGAAATAAATCTTTTATATGATTAGAAAGTGAATTCAGTAGATTTTTTATTGTTGGATTATATATAGCCTGTATGAATATGGATTGTGAGGACTGAAATACAGCATTGTTCCTGATATGTAGACAATGTACATTTCTTGAGTATCTTTGTTTTTTAATCTCCAACTGACCACAATAGCCAGTATGTTCCTGAGCATCCACCCCTGCCACCCACCTCATATCTTCTAAAAGAATAAAAACTTATTTCTGTTAGTCAAAAAAGCTTTATTAGAAGGCCCAATCAGGAAATCTTTAAAATTATAATACACTCCAAACTCTTATTCTGCAGGTTACAATATCAGAAATAAATGCTAGATTATATAAATAATAAAAAAGTATAACCAGTCATTTTATTGAGACATGGCTTATAGAGAAAAGGTAAATAATGTTTGTGCTTTTAGAGTCCTACTTAGAAATGTAAAGTCCCCAAATAAATGACAAAAAGAGTCACTTACTCGCAAAACTACCAATTCTCCATATACATAAAGAATTTTTTGGTCATATATTCACATTGGAAGATACACCAGAAGGTTTCTACATTTCAGACTCCTCCACTCCCAGTTACTTTTGAAATTTTCTCCCATGTAAGTGAGAATGGAGTGAGTCATTAAACTCTATCAAACTGACTGATCACATATTGGTCAGTAGAATTATTTTTTTAATTTTTATTTGTTTTAATTAGTTACATATGACAGTACAATGACCTTTACATATCATACATTTGAATCAGATGGGATACAATTTCTCATTTTTCTGAGTATACAGGTTGCAGAATCACATTGGTCATACAGTCACGTATATACACACAGCAATAATAATGTCTATTTCATTCTACTGTCCTTCCTTTCCCCCCTTCCCCTCCCCTCCCCTCCCATCACTTCTCTCTACCTAATCTAGGGTAATGCTATTCTTTTTTATATTTTTCTCACATCTTCATACATGTATTTTATATAACGATGAGGGTCTCCTTCCACCATCCATGGTCAGTAGAATTATGAAATGGCTTTCATATACAAAAAAGAATAGTCTTTTGAAAATTTAAGATCTGTAATGAATGATACTCTTTGAATATGTTTTTTTGAATTTAATAACTTCAAACAAGGAGAGGATCCTAGTGTGTAGTGTGAGGTATTTCTGTTTGGCCTGATCTTTTGAAGTCTTTGGCTATTGGACCTATAAATTTAAGGGATTATTTTGGGGGGGGCAGGATTCTAAAATTCACATTGTCTTTTAGGGTTTGTACTCTTAATTTGATCATTGAATGTGTGAATATTATTATAATATTGAAATTATATGTTTAAACTTTTGTCTAAAGATCCTTTTAGATTCTTGTTTTTGTGTGGTTGTTTATTCCAGATTGGAGTTTGATTATTAACCTTAATTAGTGCCTTAAGCTGACATCAGTGGGAGGTTTCACTGGTCGGTAATACCTTAACATTCAAAGAACTCTTCTTTTGCTTAAGATTATTGTTCTAAGATCATATAAACTAGAAGGAATATAAACCTTGAAAAATATTGGAATGGCTGAGCAATCTGACATTCTTGGGATATAGGAAAAAACCACTTGTCTTTTTTCCAGAAAAAAAAAACATATATTTGGGATTAGAAAGGGCATTTTTACAGAAATTATCATTAGTAATAAATTTAATTTAACTTCATATGTCCTTAATTAGCCTGAATAGAAACATTTCCATCAGTTCTATGTGTAATCTTCATTGCTAACCAGATCACGTCAATGTAAAACCTTAAACATCTTGGACAAATTTTATATTGCTGTTGAGGATATAGAAAAATGACACATCATCGACATAAATAGGTTGTACATTTTGGTTTACATACATTATGTGTCTCACATTACTATCCTGACATATATGTACTAGTGAATACATATGATAATCTTTCACCCTGTAAGTTGAGAGATGCATAGCTGAATATTTTTATATTTCCCAAATCTCAAATTCTCTGGGAGAATTTCTATGAGCTAGGGGTCTATTTGTCATTAAAGAAATCTTCATATAAATTGCAAATTGGTCCCAAAAGACAATACTCTTAAATTATGGGTAATTAATCTGAGGAGAGGGGAGCTACCTGCTATATACAATAGCTTCCTTACTAAACTGTGAGGACCTTAGAATCAGTATCCAAGCCTCATGAATGTTTATATCCCCTACAACTTTTATGTATATAGTAGTTGATTGATAAATGTTAATTGAATGAATAAGTAAACTTCTTTTGTCTCATTGTGTCTCATTTTAAATCATTTTAGCAGTTGGATTTTGTATTAAGAGTGTCAAACTAAAACTGAATTTCTTTTCTTTTACTTACAGGTGCAGGAGACATTGTTGCAATCATGATTGGCAATCTGAAAGGAACAAAAATTCTACAGTCTATTCAAAAAGGCATACAAGTAACAATGGTCATTGAAGTAGGAAAAAAACATGGCCCTTGGGTGAATCACTATTCAATTTTCTTTGTTTCTGTGTCCTTTTTTATCATTACCGCAGCAACTGTGGGCTATTTTATCTTTTATTCTGCTCGAAGATTACGGAATGCAAGAGCTCAAAGCAGGAAGCAGGTTTGTAATGCTCCTCTCTTCCCGTTTGCATTTTAATATATTTCCCTTGCTACACAAAGATCTCTATATATATGTTTTATAAAATATAGTAGTTTAAAATTTATGTCAGCCTCCATCTTCATTTATTTTTTTAATTTGTCAAGGAATTTAATCCTGCCTGATTAAGTCTTTAACACCTCATTAAGGAAGCAGCCAGAATTTAATTATAAATGAGTGTAAATACATGTTCTTTTAAATAATTTTTTTATTATAACAGCCTTCATATTCAATAAAGAAAATTTAGACACTTGAAGGTAAAAAGGAAAAATCCTTCCCAAAATCCAACATATCAAAATATCTGTAATCTCTGCCCAAAGATAACCACTGTTATTTTACATATGTGCCTTTGCATGTGACAGTGAGGCTGAAGAAAGACACTAGGCTGGCTTTCATGAGAAGGCAGGTTTAAAGATCTAGTTGTGTTCCAAACCATGACATATTCATAATATCTAGCATAGTGTAACATTATTACATAAAAGGTACAAAATATAGAAACAGTAGAGCCAAAATACCAAAGTATTATGGAACAAGGAAGTGCCCATGATTCTGTGGTTTTGATCCTGGCACCTATAAATTATTTCTTATCCCCCTGATATCCTCATTCTGTGCTTATTCATACAGCCTTATTCAGATGTATGCATGACCACTCCCAAGCATACATCTTCAGTTCCCTTGGCCATACTCTCTGTTACATAGTCTTCTCTTTGGTCTTCATGAGGGATTGGTTCCAGGACCTTCAGATGGATACCAAAATCTGCATATAGGCAATCCATTACGTTATATAAAATGGTGTAGTATTTGTAGAGAACCTGTATATATCCTTCCATTATACTTTAAATCATCTCTAATACAATGTAAGCGCTATGTAAATAGTTGTTGTATTGTATTTTGTAAGAAATAGTGGCAAGAAAACATCTGTACATGTTCATTAGAGACACAATTTTTTATTCTGATTATTTTCAATCCAAGCTTGGTTGATTCAAGCATGCAGAACTCATGGTTATAGAGGGCTGTCTGTACTTGCCAGCAAAATCCAACCCTTCTTAAATCCTACTTGCCACCTACACTGTCTGCACCTTGCATAGCTAAAGTAGCAGAAAAACATTTACAGCTATACTGACTGATCTGACTTCAAATTTATGACCTTTAATGCTGACCATTAATCATATTATATTTTTCTTAACCATTTACTCTCCTACTTTCCTCGGCAAGTAATCTTACTTTTTTCTTTCTCCTTAAGCATCCAACAACTTTATTCTCACTGTTCCATTGATAAAAATTGAAGCAATCAAAAAATAAGTTCCAGGCTGGGGTTGTGGCTCAGCAGTAGAGCACTTGCCTAGCATGTGTGAGGCACTGGGTTTGATCCTTAGCAATACATAAAAATAAATTAATTAAATAAAGGTATTGTGTCCAACTACAACTAAAAATATATATTTTTTTAAAAAGTACTTCCACATCTACCCATCTAAGTGCATTTAAGTCTTTGTCCTATTGCTTTGCTCTATCTTCTGTTACTGTGGATGAATTGTTCCCTTGAAAAGGTCCACTTTCCCTCTGCACAAGATCCTTTTAGTCTTTTGTATACTAAAGAACATTACTCCACCAGTTGTTCTGTGTCACTGTCCTACCACTAACAGAGTTTCCTCTGGATCTTTCCCATCAACACAAAAACATACTATTGTGTTCCTATTTTCAAAAGAATTTTTTCTTGATCCCAGACCAGAAACCTTGGGTTATTTTTACTTCTTTTTTTCTCACTTCCCACATAATCTCCATTGGTTCCACCTCCATTGTATATCCAGAATCCAATTATATCTTACACTTGCTCTGGTCCATACCACCATCATTACTTACTCCTCTTCCCTTCAGATATTCTCAACACAATGGCAGAATGGTATGCTACTTCTCCAGAATGTTTGATGGCCTTTCAGATGCTCTTTCAGTAGATTGAACAGAATACAGTTTTATATGTACTGAGAAGTTTCTCCAAAGGCAGTGAATTTCTGTCCACTTCAAGCACTCTTTCTGAAAAGCAAAGAGCAACCAAGGGTGGGAGGATCAATGAGGATTTCTAATAGGAAGAATGTTGAGTCTAAGAACAGATGAGAAATTGAAAATTAATTTAAAAAAACTTCATAAAGATTAGATATTATATATGGGTTTTTTTAAAGTGATGATTATCTCAGTGTTTAAAGTTATTTGACTTCTGTCCCTCTCAGAGAAGTCACTTATCACATTGGTGGCAGGTTCAGCCTGTTACTAGCTATGGTCAAAAGGATGTTTCAAATTCCTTTGCTAGGCTACTTAATAGCTTCACATTGAGTTAATATTTCACATTTGTATGTTATACTGTTTTTATCTCTGAAGTGGGAAAGAAATTGCTATCCTGTATGACTAACTATTCAACAGTAACAATAACAAGAGGGTTTGGTTTCTCTATGTTTACTGTAGGTTATGTGTTTTGGTACTGTAACTGCTATTATATTGAATCAGTCAGCAAGTAATAAGTTTATAAAAAATCTTTGGTGTTGCACAAGCTTCATTGAACATGTAGCCCTGACCTCATCATTCATTTAAGAAATTTTCATAGTTTGTAATGTATTTATGAAAAATTAACCTCTGTAGGCTTGGTCAAGAATAGCATTGAAACTTCTATTATAGAAGGCTTTTGAAAGGGCATCTTTTACTACTTAATGGACTGTATCAATTTATCATTTGTGGACAAAAGAATTAAATATATGGCTGATTATTCTTTCACTTATAAATATTTGAAAGTTCTACATTATCATTTATATATTTAATTTTCATGACCCCTGATTTATTTTTAAAGACAGAGCTTGATATACATGATGGTTACAACTATCACTTAACATTTAACTCCATTATCTACATTTACTGTTAGAAATGGTGATGAAGTGAGTTATGGAAACTTGCATTAGAATATTAGGAAAAATAACGTATTCAGGAATCTCTTCCTTCTAAATATTATGATACATGATATATAATTTCAGGGAAACTGATAATTGTATAACCATAAGTTTTGATGACTAAGTGCTCAAATAAGTCCCCAGAGGTAATGACTTGACATGTCATAGAAAATGTGTCTCCAGCTAACATGGAACTTAGAAATGACAGAATCATTGCTACTAGTGACAACAGTTGTCCATATTAATATTTGGTATATGAACAAAGGCCAATTATTCTAGGAAGGTTTAATAAACACTTCTCTGATACTTCCTGATTTATTTTGTAGCTAAACCAAACTGTATCATAACTATGCTGTGATATGCTATAATACTGGTATTGATGGTAAGATTCAACTACCTTATATAAATCAATCATGTGGTAATCAAATGGATTAATTAATTGAACTAAAACCTCCTCAGGATGTGATACCAATGGAGAGTGAGTAGCCGAAGGAAGAATTGGAACGACTTAGTTTCTTATATTATTAAATAGCTCTGCACAAGTTTATCACAAATTTCAAGTGGCCATAGATCATGGGAGTAAATGGATAACTAAATTAGTACAACAATATAAAGATATTTGTGATGGTCTTATGGACTGGAGAAATTGTACCTTTGGGAGTTGTTTCTACCACTTGAATGCTTCTACAAGTATTAGGTTTATATAATGTTGTTCAATCTATATACATATATATTATACAAATACCATACTATATAAATATAATACTGTACTATAATAATAGAAGTATAACATGTATATATAAATAGTGTATATGTAAGAAATATTTATATATAAATATATTTATATATAATGTATGTATACTATTGCACATAGAAATGCTAATTATAGTAAATAAATGTTATATAAAATATAGTATTTATATAAATACTATATTGACACTGCACTGATTGCTTTGTAGATTGCGAAAAAAGAGATAACAGCAGAACTATCTGCTTACTCCTTGCATGTCCCCAAGGTAGCCTTGATTGGATCTTAGCCATGGGAATGTGGCCCTCAAAGTGATCCGTATGATAGTGATTGATGATAATGTTATATACACCTGAGGCAGTGGACCATGTTGTACCAGTTTGTCAAGTTTGCTTTGTACAACAATTCATTCTGATGTTATGCACATTTCAGTGTTGGGGACCTGAGTTTCAAGTAACATGGATGGTTGCTAATAAGAAACCCATAGTAACCAGCCCCCAAATCCAAATCTCTCATCCTGATACTCAAACTGTTTGTTTGGGCCACCCATGTCCATATAGTTTGGTATAAGAGAATAACACTGCTATTATTCATCTAGATGAGGATGGACTAGGATACATTCATATCTTGAAAATTATTCTTGAACTTTAAGCATTATTAAAAATTATCTGAAATATTACCAATTACATTTAGTTTTCTCTATTCCAGTAGTACATGAAATTAACTGGGAGATTCATCAGATATCTGCATACTATACTATTCTCAACATATACAAATATGTGGTTGGTGTGTTTGCATGTATGTATCTGTTCCTGCCTAAATTTGAGAATTTTTCAGGGCCTTTTACAAGACCATGAGAATTGTGGCTCTTATAAAGAGCAGGTTAAATAAACACTTGTCTAAGTGAGGTCTAGTTTTACAGTCTTTTTTCTGACTTTCTCATCAATCAGAAGGAGACTAAAAATGGGTCCCAATTTTTATAGATTTACTTATTTAATTCTTCATTTTTATATCACTATTACTTTTTTGAGACTTCTTTCTCACTAGGTTACTGTGTTAGTCCTCTTTCTGTCACTGTGAGAAAATACCTCAGATAAATATCTTAAAGGAAGAGAGGTCAATTTTGGCCCATGGTTTCAGAAGTTTCAATATATGGTCATTTGGCCCCTGTCACTTTGGGGCTTGTAGCAAGGTAGAAAGAACATCATGGCATGAAACATGTGGTGAAGCAGAGCTATTCACTCTTGACCAGGAAGCCAAGAAAAAGGGAAGAGGTTGACATC